ATGTCTAATGCCCTCATACGCTGCGAAACTGTTCAGAAACTATTTCTTGTCTGACACATTCAAGTGAAATCACAAGTGTTAAACATGGATCGTCCAGACGTGTCCGGTATCAGTTTTGATTGCTGCTTGGTTAAAAGTAAGCGTCCTCTAATGATAAAAATAAACATAGCTGCCATCAAGATTGACAGGACTCCACACAAAGAAGTTCACTGATTCTGTTCTAAACATTTTTGATTTCGACATTCCCATGATGTATCATTGGGAGAAAAAGATGTATAATAATAAGGTTACTACAAGGATACCTCCACCTGGATACCTCAAAGTATGCACCCAGACAGTAGACTGTCGCATCGACCTCCGCTGCGCGTAGGTCTAAACTCCTGTGTACTGTCTTCGTGCATACTTTGAGGTATCCTCGTAATAACCTTTAATAAATAATTATTATTTACAAAAATAAAAGTATTTAAATAATCTGATGCTACACCTACTTGCACTTTCAATTCATAAATGTATTATATAACACTATCTTTCAAAATTTAATTTTTGTTTAAGCGTCATGTAATCTGCATCACAGTATCACATGTGCACATCTTCCCTGTAACACGACTCTTCTTTGTAACTATGGCTTGAGAAGTTTTAACGGTACAAGAGCAACTCACATCTTTCTTACCGAAACAACCGAAATGTTATCTCAACGTTTCAGATTTTCATCAGTTTTCACCCCTAAGAAGCCTTTCACTGAGAATTATTTCTCTTGTCTCGTTACTAATCGCGGCATACAGATTATTGACATCTTATTTTCAGTACGCTACGAGTAAGTGGCTTGTTCCATTTTTGTTGCACGATGCCGAGTGATTTGTTTGTAGCAGTGGTGGTCGAGTCATATGGGAATCACTGTCGTGCACACTAAACTGGAACACCAATTTTACTCTTTTCATATGAACTTGAAATAGCACAAAAATTCACTGTATGGTTTTCTACAATCTAAATAAGATCGGAAGAAGTTGAGGGCGCAAAGGTCACATTTATAAATAGAATATTTAATTACAAACAAACAAACAACCTTATTATTTATCAACAAGTTTAAATACTTGTCTTGCACCCACGCGATTCCCTATGTCTATTTTATTGTAACATGAATCAATCAAATTAACAATTGTATGAATGGATCAAAATATTACTTTCTTATCGCAATATAGATCCCGGAGACGGCGTAAGGCAATTACATACAAAGACACGTAGACAGTTAATTGGTACCGTACATGTATGTCTGTTTTTATCACAAACGTATTACATGTTTGCATTGATTAACATACTAGTAGTATTAATTCCCTATAAACATGACAACACAATTACCATATTATTCGTACGTTTTAACTAATGCTCATAAACCCTGTTAATCAAGCAAGCGCCGCGAATGATTTCGCACATACCATATTAATCTCATATTCCCTAGATTAGTTTAAACAGTATATTGTTTTAGGCGGGAAAACAGAGTACACAACAAAAGGACCATTAAGACCATTTTTTAAAATCAGGGTTGCTGGTGAAGTAAATGTCTTATTTGAGAAGTATTGCATTCATAAACAAGCAGAACAAAATTGCATCATCTAACTTAAGATGAGAACTTGAAGACTGCAGGCGTAGTAAAGATCTCGCGAGATACTAATCACCTCTGCAAACAACCTGTCCGTGAGTACACAATAATGATTAGTTTTAACAGATGTCGATTTCACATTGACGTATATGTTCACGCTGAGAATACTGCGTTTTCCTACGTACGGGCAAGTGTCAAGCAAAGAAAACATTTTTTTTTTCAAATAAAGCTCGCTAATATTAAATTACGAAAATCACTTGGCCGGCAGGACAACGTCAGTTAGCGAGTAGAGTGATTAATTTCTGACGAGGGTCTACTGGTAAAGCAAACACGTGTTGACCTCCCTGCGAAGTATTACACTCATGAACACGTAGTTCATAATTGCATCATCCAACATGAAATGACAGCTCTAGACTTTTACACTCTACCTTGTAGAGTCTTCGAGCTTGTGACCTGAGCCACTAGTGGGGAGTTCCCTGGCGAATACCTAGCTTAGTGATAAAAGCCCCGTAGTATCTGAGAAGGAGAAGGAGATTTGTAATCGCCATGAAAGTACTACTTGGTTTAGTACTCTGTGTAGTACGTATTTCGCACGGGGATTATGTGCGCTACGACGGGTAAGTCGAGAAGAAAGACAGCGTAGTAAAACAGTTTGGTGAAATAACGTTTAACTAATTAATTACGTTTCTCTATGACAGATACCAAGTCTTACACCTAGATGTTGATGATCGGAGAATCGACGATGTATTGCACATACTGAAAAACGACGAAGAGGTATCTTCATATCAGAATGATTGGGTTTATGTTTAAATGTATTAAACTATATTATGCACAATTTACTTAGTACTGTAAATTTATACTTGACTACGAACGACACGTTTTGTTTTTAAATAACGAATTTTTAATTAAAATTTCTTATTATTTTTCAGTTAGATTTTTGGCATTTTCCTGTGGATCTCATGGTACCACCAAGTAAACTGACTGAAGTGAAAAACCTACTAGATACGAAACGTGTATATTATACAATTAAAATTCCTAATGTTCAGAGTTTGATCGACAATCAACTCAGTAGAGATGCTCCTCGAGTTAACGCCTTGGGAGACTATGATTTCACCAGATATTATAATTTGAAAGAGGTGAGGATTCTTGTCATTATACTGAAACTAATAGACAACCGGTCATGTAGATAGCAAGCTATTGATAGGGTTTATTTTATATTGTAAACAATTTATTTTTCCATATATGATTAGATTAGGTTGTAAGTAAGTAAGTCAGTCAGTCAGTCTGTTTGTGGTACGAACATTGGTATTTGACCTTTAAGTATTGAACAGGGCAATCGTGTGTAGATCGTGTGTAGTGGTTTATTTCAAACTGTATCTGTTAAAGTTACGTTTTGTTGGCAATTAATTTGTCTTTACAAACATACTTTGAACGAATTAACTTTTTTTTTACTGTACAAAAGTTGAAATATGTCTGGCAAAGCAACACGCTTATGAACGATGAAATATTCCCAGTTTCCAATTGTAATGTTTCAAAGATTTTTTTTTACTTTCTATATATGGTAATTTCTTTTTTAACTGTTCAT